TCCGGCCACTGGATGCGCAGCTGTTGATGTTTCCTACACACGCACAGTGACTGCATTTGCCATTTGGTGCAGAGCTACATCCCCACACAATTGCCAGCGTATCGCTTTGGTCTGCTACAGGCTAATGCTGCAAACTGAGACATTTGCTAGAGAGCTCAGTGCCGCATTTCCCGCATGTGCGCAACAGGGAGAGTGAAGGGGAGATGTCCCTAAAGGGCTAAAGCAGCAGAAAGCAGAGGTGAGACTGGAGTGGAGAAAATCCTGAAGACTGAATCAAGTTACTCCTTCGAAAAGAACTGGAAAGAAGAAAAGGAGGAGAAATTAATGCTTGCTGCAAAGGCAACTGTGGCAGGAAGGTTGGATCTAGGGCTGAAAGCCTGATCCAGGGGAAGCAGACTGACATCCTCGCTCCAATAGCAGCCACGTAGCCAGGATGGGGTAGCTGATCACAGGAAGTTCTTGGTACCCTAGAAGGGTCACACATGCCATGAGCTGTCAAGAAGTTCCCAGCCCGAAGGTGCCCGTTACAGCAAATTTGGAGTCGCAAGGGGGGCTGCAGCCTCTGTCTTCCTGACTGCATCTGCAGCCAGCGCAGGGCAGGAGGGACACCCAGCACCAACCCAGAGCACTTGCCAGGTCACACAATTCTCCTAACACCACAAGGACACCCAGCTAGTCTCAAAAAGCCCCCTGCCTCAGGGCTCCCTGGGGGCCACACATCCCATGCAGCTGTGTGACACCAGAGGCCTGCAGTCCCCACCCAGACATCCCTTTGGGTCCTGGTAAAGCTTCACTGCTCCAGTAACATTTTACATATTGGGCACGATACAATAGCAGAGAGGGGTCTGCAGCCACCTGTCTGCAAGGGAAACGTCTCTGGGCTCACGCAGCCCGGCTGAAGATGCCGCTGCGCTCCCTGCCCCACAGGGGCAGCTCCCGGTGGGCTGTGAGGAAAGAGCCCATCCTGCCTCCGAGTGGCGCAGCCGGGCGCTTATCCCCCACCGCCAGCCACGGTTTCCATTGCAGGCACCGCCACCACAGTTTAACTTGACCGTTTCAAGGAACATCCACATGAAACCTGGCGAGGAGGGAGCTGCTCAGGCCCTCCCTTTGCCATCTTAAAGCACCTGTACAGGATTCGTGCTATGAAGCTAGAGCATTTCAACTCCCCAGGGCAAAGAATCCCAAACCAGCCATCTATTTTTATTCTTCTTCCTTCCTTCCCTTCCATCAGGCTTTTCTGTTAGATTACAAAGTGTATGTCTTCAACAGACAGGACTCAGTGCCAGCCATTCACGGTTTCAGGTTGGAACTGCACAGAGGTGACAAGACAGTGCTGGAGGATGTGGGTTACAGCAAGGCCCAGCTATCAGCAGGGACCACAGCCTGGAGGAACAGGCTGTGCCTACAAGGGCTACCTGGAAAGCATGTTGAACCATGCATCTGCATCAGTTGGTGATCACTGCAGATTTTTCCCCACTCAGCTAAGGAATATGATAAAATATTCTATCAGACACGCATAGAGCAGAACATGGGACTTTCACTCCATAACCATAATTCAGAGGAAGATCTAGGGACAACTTTCATTGAGGCAAGATAGGTATTTGCCACAAGAACCAAGTTTCAGAGTTGCTACATTGAGCAATTTGTCTTGAAGTACAGAAACTCTACAAGTTTTTTAGCCTAGAAAAGTTTGTTTCTGTAGCAGCTGTAGCAACAGTCAGGTTAGAGTGTCTCATTGGCTTAATAACAAAGATAAAGTGTTTCTGAATTTGTCACAGATGCTGCACTGACCTTACTTTTCACTTTAATACTGGGCAGAAGGCTTAACTAAGTGACATCCAAACCATGACTTTCAGTGGCACAGTGACTGTCTCATTCCATCTTAGTGGAAAAGTAAGCCAAGGATGAAGCAAGGTCCTACAGAACCATGGGTTTGTGCATATCTGACTGCAAGAGGCCTCAAATCCCATCTCAGATACAGCAAAAGCAACGCTGAATAATACCTTATAGGGAAAAAAAAAAAAAAAAACACCCACTCACAAAACAGATTCTTGAACCTCACTGTACTAGAGGTATAGAGCTTAGGAAAGAAACACCTTCTCTTTACTGGCCAGATGGCTCTGCAGACCTGGCCAAGGCAAGGTTTCTCCCACTCTGAGAAACAGAGGAGCCATTACTGTGTCCCTAGGTATCAATGTTCAACCCTATTCAGGCAAGACTTAAAGAGGAAGAAGCAAAACAAAAACCCACCAAGCAATGCCTTTTCAAAGGCAGCTTCCCCAAAGTACAGTTAAAAACCCCACACATATACCAAAGCCAGACACATGCTACGTATGCACACACAAGAGAGTGAGATATAGGCCAGTAAAAACACCGTCCATGACATTCAGATTGAAGGGACTGCTCATGCAGCTGAGAGGTTCTCTAGCCCTCTTTCCTGAACTGCTTTCCTCTACAGATAATACAGAGCAACTTTTCCTTGAAGAAACTGTCACTGTTACAGATCACACAAGTAGCATCTTCCTTCACTTCTACTTGCTTGGACCAGGAGAGGAACAGGCCTAACTTCACAGTTAGGTCTATGTTTCCACAACACTTATCCCTGCAACATAATGTTAGATTACACAAAGCTGAATTACTACATGTGTAGTCCAGTAATCTTATTCTTCTAAAAAGCTCATCCCCATGATGCCAGAAGTCATACCCAAATCTTCTAGACATTCTTGCCTACACTAAGCTAGACAAACTCAAACAAGTGACACATTTTAAAAAGCCGATACCATGGAAACGCTTGCTGGTGTCACTATGTGCCACTATATGGTTTATGCCTTCAGCTTTAGCAACAAGAATTCACTGTTATGGATGTGGTATCCCTAACCGAGGAGGGTTTGAGCTTAAGAAACCTGTTCTTGGAAAAGCTAAAAGATGATTTCTCCAACAGGAAGTGTTCGACAAGCATCCAAGGTAGGAGAGGCTCTGTCACCAGTGGCTTATGTGGGTATTTTTTGTTTGTTTGTTTTTTAATATATGCATGGAAGAGGGGCTATTTCCTATTTGTCTTCTCGGGTCAATTCTGAAAGTTAAGGAAAGCAAGAGCACAACCTCTCGCATTGTTAAATTTCGGTGGGTGTGCTGCAGAACCAAGTTATAGCAAGGCATTACATGTTTATGTGCGATCTCAAGGGCAAGACCATAACATTGAAGTTCAGAGCTCCAGGCTTCCTTGCTTCTTCACATGCACATTAAGAAGCCTGGCTGTTGAGCATCAGTATATGGACTTAAGGACTATAACTCAAGTTCAAGAATATTTCCTAAGGACAACTACATTTCTGGACCCCTTAAAGTCTGACACTCCCCCATTTACATCTTCACACACCATGTAGTTCAATGCAATGTGATATGAGCTGCACAAAGCAGATGTGTGCACTTTTAGTCTGGTCTAAGGGATTCATTCTGAACTTCAGACACTTCTTCCATTAAACAGCCCAGTTCCCTTGGCTCCATAAGCAAAGGCAGGGATATTACGGGTATGAATAAAAGTTGCCACAATAGCCAGGCTTGTTCTGACAGCAGTAACACCCAGTATTGACAATGAGAAGCCCTCAGGCATGGAAGGAAAGAGGCTTCCCTAGCTCAGACACTCAATACAGAAGTTAAGGCATTTTTTTTCTCCTTCAGCTACAACAATTTCTTTTAAAAGACAGGGCACATGAACATTTTAACTTCTTTACTAGCTTTGCAACCAATGCATTTGCTGTCAATATCCCAGATGCAGGCATTTCTCCTCATGCTGGCCACTGCATTTCCACACACTATCCTTCTAGACACCACACTAAATCACTGGCCAAAACCAGAGTGTATCACTGAGTCAAATAAACATTAGCTTTTTTATAGCAGAAAAGTTACCTTCCAAAAATATAATAAAACTGCAAGGCATGGCCATCACTACCAATGACTTGCCTCAGTTTTGAAAGGTGTATTTTATTCACGGATTGGAGTGTTCTGGTTCCCCCAAATTTTAGCATTCTCAGAGCACTACAGCAGCCAGCCATGGATGGCCCTGTGCACTGAGTTACCAAATGAAAGCTCATGTTGTGAAGGGCTCCAGATGCCAGCAGCTCCTCCAGCTGAGGACACGCAAGCTGGGAGTGGGCTGGGAACCAGTCCTGGATAGAAGCTTTGAATTAAGGGCACAAAGAGCAACGAGGGGGGAGGAAGGGGAACCCCTGAAGATAGATGCTTATTTAAACCAGCTGTTAGCCCACTCTAAACACTCATAAGTATGAACAAATGTATGAGAGTGTAGAGTGATTCAAAGCTACCAGGCATCCATGAGTTAAAGTACACAAAGGACATCTATACAAACACTTGCCAAAAGTCTCATTTTTCCAGCTTGGAGTCTGGCTATTCCACGGATGGCAGAAGGCATTTTATCTGCTTTTATGTGATAGGCTCTGCCTCCTCACCTGAAAATTCCCCAATTAACACTTCTGCAAGAAGTCTGGAAGTTGTGCGCAGCCACGTATTTATCTACGCACATCCCCTCCCCTCCCTGCTGAGTTCTGGGCCACGGGCTATGCTGTCAAGCCAAGTTTCATCCTGAGCAATTTTTATACACTCATCCTATAAATCCTCCAAAAAAGGGAGTTAGTAATGGAAATGCTGACAGAGACTTGAAGTGACAGCAGGGCAGCTACATGGTTCTGCTCTATATCAGCTTCATTAGCTGCAGATCCTTTTCTCCTTCACCTTAGTTTTCCATTAGTGTACTTTGGCTAATTAACGCAAAAAAACTACAAAACATTCTTAGAGTAGAAGGCAACATTTGGCCCCCAGCCCAAAACAACATTGAGAAACTTCAACATCCTCGGCCAGACATAGTGACTGTACCAGATGGAGCTAACAGAGCTACGAGTAGTGGAGAGAAAGGACGGCAGGGAAACACATGCAAAAAGAATTCTGAACATTAGAAAAAGGAAGAAGAAAACTTGTCTTACCACTTTCATTTTTCTCTATGACATCCACGACCTCTCCAGCCTGGAGGCTAATTTCAGAGTTCTCCTGCTTCTCATAGTTGGACACCACCACATATTGCTCCAGGATCATGGGTTCAGAGCTAGCATCAGCACCTGGGGAAGGGAAAAAGCAAGCTGTAAGCCAGCTTCCAGCCATGGCTCCTCGAGAGTGACCTCCGTCCATCCGAGTCACGACAGGCCAATTTGTCACCGGAGCCAAGCAAATCAGCAAACAACCTTGGCTCGCAGCATATCCCCAAATGGCTGGCCATATAGAAATAGCCTCCTCTGGCCCACAACCCAGCAGCACAGAGGGACATTGGAGAAAAGCAGCAGCAAAAGGGGAGGAAAAAATAAAAAATAAAAAGGAGCCAAGTAGTGAATTAGTTGCAAAGTTTCATGATGGATTCTGAAAATAAACCTCTTCCCAACATGGTTTCCACAATCCTTGCTCCCATTCAGAAAGAAAAATCCTGGGTAGAAGCAGCATAAATCCACAGCTGAGCCATCCCCCCAGTAAACCAAGAGAAAAAACAGCTCTCCCCTTGGAGTCTCAGCTCCTTCTCTACTCTAATGGCCGGAGCTGCGAGTCAAGAGGGGGCTGTAGATGCCAATCATATTCGGCTGCACTACAGTCCTTAAATAGAAACACATGAGCAGGATTGAAAGGAGGAGGTGGGGAGGAGGGAGAGGGGAAGGCGGGGAAGAGTGTTTACTTGAAACAGAAGAAAAAAGGAGTTAGCGAGCGCCAGAGCCGCACTCGCACGGCCACCCCCCTCCTGCTCTCCGGTTCCGCATTCCCTGCGGAAGAAACAGCCCCCGAGAGCGGGAGCCACCAACGGGACGAGTGCCCACGGAGGGAAGGCTTGGTCTGACTTTCCCCCATCTCCCTTCTGTTGGATTTTGGGGCATTTTCGAGCAACTTTTCCAACTGTCCTGTTTCCCTCCCGCCCCCCGCCATGGAAGAGTTGTGGCTGCTGGAGCGCTTGATGAATGAGTGTAGGCGCTTGTGAGCGCGGGGACCAAAAAAAGTACAAAATAGCTATTCCTTTCTTGCATATACTCATGGTCAAGTTCTTCCTTTTGTCAAAGAAGGGAACTCTTCTCTGAAGAGAATAAAATACAGCATTTTGGGGTGGAGCAGAGACCAGGAGTGCTGCAAACCCAGACACAGAGGGAGACATCTCCGCACTGCTGCTTGCCGCTCCAGACAGCCCGGCCTGCGGGCGCATCGCAAACCCGGCCGCTGCGGCCTCTCCTCCTGTGCATGCATGGACACCCCACAGACACCCTTCTGCGTGGAAAGGGCCACGGGAAGCCCTGGGGACCTCTCGGACGGGATTTTTCCTTTATTTGCACTGCAACACTTGAATGCTCTTTGAAGCGATAGGCCAGAATAAAAAGCATCTGCAACTGCTCTGTTAAGAGCCACCAGACATATGTTTTATTATGAGAAAAATCTTATGGGTTTCCTGACTTACAGCACTAAAGCAGGGCAGTTTGGGCTAGCAGTACCTTACACATTTTATACAGCAAGAGATAGCTCTGTCTCTCTAAACTTCAAGGCACAGCTGGAAGAAAACAAAAGCTGATGCTGGGCTTGCTCAGAGCCCCACTGCACGTGAGAGGGGCAGAGCCAGGAGCAGAATCCAGGTCTCTTGAATCTCTGCAGAGAAATTGGCCAAGAGAGACAGGAAGGAAGCAGCAAGGCCTAGCAAGCTGTCCACTGTGCAAATCAGGGGACTAGAGGCCAAAAAGATGATTAGATGAAAGATGATTACTTTCAACAGCAATACATGTTCATATTTGCTTAGGCTGAAGATGTCTGTAGAATCACTTTACAAATAATTAGCAACTTTACAAAAATAAAGGCAAAGAGCACATCAGCCATTAGAAGGGCCTTCCATGAAAAGACAAGTCTAAACTGGAGTTGTTTGATCCAACCTTTTCTTGAAGTCAAACACTGTCATAGCACCTCCCTTGAGGACAAATCTCCAGAAATCCAGAGAATTAGACTTTCATATTCCCTAAACATGGCTCTTAGCTAAAACTAAATCCATATAATCAGAGGAGCATTCTCTGGAAGACTGTTCAGCTCTTTGATGGAGGGTTGAACCAGTCAGTGGCAGGAATGGCAGGGAGAAGATAGATGTGATAATGTTAAAATAAGTAATCAAAACTTCACCATAGCTCTCCACCTATAAATAAACATCATATTTCTGTTCATGATGCTTGACAAGAAGCTTAACTTCCATGCCCTGGTTTAAACCACTGCTAATTGGTTCATTTGGAACATGATGAGCTGCTTTCCCCATTTCACACAGCTTCCCATGGAGCAGCTCCTCCAGGGTGCAGAGGGACTGCGTTCTTGCCTTTTTACCGATCTGTTCATGCAAGTAGCCACTACAACTCTGCCTGATTTTATTTTCAAGATAAACACGGTTTCTCCATCTGCAATCCCAACCTGTCTCAGCAGTATGCACATGTACATTTCAACTGAGAATTTTGTGGGTCGAAACGCAAGAGGAGGGACTGAACAGTTGCAGATCAAGGGACACTCAGGCCAGTTACTAAACACATCCCTAGTGTCTTATTTCCCCTGATCTCCTGGGCAGTTTCCACGGGGGCAGGAAGAACAGTGGAAAAACGCCCCATGTACACAAAGCAGAGCACTGGGCTCCGCAGCAGCTCACGTGCAGCACCAGCCCCACTGGGAACAAAGCAGGACCACGTGCACAGCGCGGGCTGGCACATACACCACGATCACTCCCCAGTATCGGAGCGAGGGAACAGATGCCAGAACAAGTCTTGCCAGAAAGCTGGAAGACGCAGCATTTCAAAACTACTTCCTCAACCCCCTCTCCAAAAAAGTAAATAAATGCCCAGCAAGATAGGTTATATCTGCAGGCGTGTATCTGAAGCCCAGCAGGACTTTACGATGTGGTTTACTGTATCCTGCCTTGGAAGGATAAAGCCCTCACTGCAGGAGGATTTCTTTGTTACTGCAGCAACGGGTGTTACACATGCAATTAAGAAACAAGCTTCTGGTAGAAAGGTCTGAGGGTTACACAGTTCCTATTAAAAGATTTATCACCTGAAGAGAATGGGGTGAAAAATTCCTTGGTCTAGGAAGTAACCAGGATCAAAGGAAATGATTCCTTTACAGCTGCAGCAGATCCTGCCCAGGAGATAAGTTCCCTGGGAGCAGCGGGGTCCGCATGCTTCCCTTGCGATGCTCTCCCAGTCCCCGACACAGACCTGCTGCTCACAGGCTTTGCTTCGAGCCCCTCCAGGAACATGCTGCACAGCTGGGAAGACCTCAGCAATGCCAAAGGAAAGGAGGAAAGAAAGGAGAAAGAAAAGAAGAGCGAGCTTCTGCTGGTACTCAGAAGCCTTATGCTTTTGGGGGGATTGGGAGGGAGGCTATGTTGTTACTGTATTTCCTCCAGGCATAATCAGTAAAAACTTGAGTCCCCCTCAGCCTTTCCTCCCTCCCAGTCATCTGGGATGGAGAAGCATCTCATTTCTCCTCAGTGAGCCCCAAATTAACCACAACACATGGTGAATTGGGGAGAAGAGGCAGCCCTGTCAAGAGCGCAGCACCCAGGTGCACCCACCCAGCAGGCACCTCCAAATCCCAGCGCCACGGCACCG